AATCCTGGAAACAGGAATTTGGTGAGAGTGTTAAGGATTTTGTATTTGAGAACCGATGATACAGAAGTACAGTTCTTATAACTATACAGAATCACAATTCCCAATATTGCCATGGGGAGGAAATAATGATTAAAGTACTGTAAATCTGTAATACTGATACTACAGCATTAACAGAATTAAGTAGGAGACCTCTGCAGTACAACTGTGTTTAACTGATGCTCTCTCGTTTGCGTCTGTGATTACTTCCCAGTCCTTCACGGAACAGCATACGTTGAGTTTTAAGTATGTGACTTTAGAGGAGGTGATATAGCATTCAGGATTTAGGTATGTTGAGCAGCGGCAAGCCAAGTAGAGGGAGCCCAGGAGCCCAGGGGTGCATGAATGTGCAATAAACAGCAGTGGCTGCAGTTCAGCCTCCTTGCTTCAGATGGATTTCTCTGTTGCATTTTAATTTGGCTGCACAGATTCCCCACTACAGTTTAATGAGCTAATTCACCAGCATATTAAACACTTCTGATCCCTGGTGTTTCCTTCTCTGCAGTTCCCAGTGGTTCCGCTACAAGAGCCGTGCTTGTTAATGTTGCCATTCTTCCAGTTTACACAGAAGCAATGCAAACATTTTTGTGCATGGGGTGGGGCGAGTACATTTCTCCCAGTCTATTGACAGAGCGGGATAGATATTAAATTCTATAATTCTTTTGCCCGCTTCTAAGCATCTTCGGCATTAATATTTGATGATGAAGGATGCTCATAATCAGGCCCGGATTCCCCCGTGTCAAAATGCTTTATAGGATGCCTTTGGGACCTTAATTGTGAACTCAGCCCTTCAGAGCTTCCTACTCAAACCTAATAAACCCCTGCTATTCTGACGCAAACCCTCATATATCTCCATCCACAAGATTTGTGCTGGGATACCAGCAAAATATTATGGAAGGAAAGATGGGCTTAGAGAGGATAAGGCTGGGAACTAAGGCAGCATATTAGCAGGGTGCCCAGGAAGCTGGAAAGGGAGGCTGCCAGAGGTTCTCATGCTCCAGAGACTTTTGGGGAGCAAATTTAAAAAGCAGAGTTTCCTCCCCTCCTCATTTTTCTCAAACAGATTTTGCTACCATGGCAGGATACATACAGTTCCCTCCGGCCATCTTGCTATATGGTGCCTCGATGTGAGGAAGGACACTACATCACTGTGGGGGTAGGTGGCCCCAAAGAGTCATGAGAGTGCCACTGCTTTGCCACAGCTGCAAAAACCGTTTAACAAAATGTTAATTGTGTGTTCAGACCCAGAAACCTCCCCCTAAATAAATTCACCCTTGACTCAAATTTTAGTTTGGTTTTTGGCAGAATTTAGGCCACAACTTTATTGATTACAGAAAGTGAGTGGTTGCATAGGCTCTGGTTCGACTAGCTCCCTGCCATGCAGGAAGCGCTGACCTAGGGTTCCAGCATAGGTCAGCCAAGGGTGAACACCTACGTAGGCGAAAAGCCGGGAACAGACTATGTCCGCCACCCAGATGTCCCCCTGGACTCAGGCATGGGCGCAACCCCCTCTCAAGGGTTGACCAAACCATTTGAGTCCCTGGATTCCTTTAACGAAATACCCTTCACATAGGGATGGCGAGACTGTTCGCCCATCCCTATCACCTGAACCAGAGCCTATCCACCACACGAGCACCTGCGCTCACTGCCAACCACTCACACCTGTAACCAATCCCTTAACCCCGCTGACACGGAGGTCAGCCACAAATCATTCCCAATCACAGACAGATGAACCCCATCAACACTGTAAAGGGACACATCCTGGAAGGTAATGCCTGGGTGATGGATCACCGTCCCTCCCAAGGCCAAAACCTTCTTGGCCACTGTGCTCTGGATGCGCCTCCTGGCCCTTTCGGTGGCAGCTGGGCACCAGCTACCTCATCACACACGTTGCTGCAACAGCTGCGACTAAAAAAATTTGAGTCCGGGAAGAGCTGCCTTCAACTCTTCCAAGTCCTCCTGCATGCGGGTCCACAGGCTCAAGCCAGGAGCTTCTGACAAATCGTTCTCGCCCAGCTGCACCACCATCGCCACAGACGCGCCTTCCGCAGACACCTTCACCCGCACCGTAGGGAGAAGTTCCTTCCAACGCATTCCTCGTCTGGATATCAAGCCATCTCTCAAAAGTTCTCTCCACTTTAAGAGAGCTGGCCTTGCCCTTCCCCGAAATAGCCTGCTTATCCTTATCCGGGCATTCATTAGGGGGAAGGAGTTTGAAGATATCCACATAGTGACCATTGAGAATCCTATTTCGCAACCTGGAAGGCAAATGCGCACTGGGAATAATATCCCTGACAGCATTGGTTGAGACTTTAACATCTTTGACTGGTTCGCCATCTATGCATTCGAGGGGAAGGCCATACCTAGCCCTGTGTGTGTTGGCTCTACGCTGCCACGCCCACCTGGGAAGGTCCGAATCCCCCTCACCATGGCCCCAATAAAGACCCATAACCATATCTGAGAAGATGTACCAGTAGAAGAAGAGGAATCACCACCTTTGCGCCTCTTGGCCCTGCGTTTGGAGCAACAACTCTTCTGTCGCTTGCCACCGGATGAAGGGGCCCTAGGCACCGGGAGATCCTCCTCCGAAGACTGGGTGCTGAGCGCCTCTCTCGATGGAGCCGACCGATCCTGCACAGAACTAAAAACATGTGAGGTACTCTGCTGGGAAGAAGTCCCCCCTCCCATGTTGTGCAACTGAAGGCCCTGAGCTCCCAGACCCCGGAGGTGCCGACTGGGAACGTGGCAAACCAGACCGAAACGCCTGCTGAACCATGGCACCCATACTCCTAGGACGACCCCTAGGACTAGCTGGGGCTGGGATCCTAGAAGGTTGGAATTGGGAGAGCAGGGCCCCAGAAGGGTCATAAGCCTCGCTCCCTTCACTCGCATCAGAGGGACCATGGGCCTCAAAAACCGTGGAAGATGTGGAGGGGCCAGACTGAGAAACAGGCTGCCTCCCAAATTGCTGAGCCAATGACTCAAGCTCCGTATTAAACCTTGTCAAGGCCACAGGGTCTGAACCAATATTGGCCACAATAGCACCCAAGCGATCCAGCGTATGCTGAGGAACTGCTGGGTCCTGCACTGAATGAAATGACTGAGACGGGCCTCTAATTACCCTTTTTGAAGGGAGAGCAGGACTAGGGTTCCTCTTAACAGGCGTTTTAAACCCTTCCGTAACAAGCAGGGATACTACAACAAAATTAAAGACACCCAGGCAGTAAAAAAAATGACGCTCCCGCCAAAACAAGATGGCGCTCCCGCCACACAAGATGGCGTTCCTGCCAAAACTGCAAGCGCAGCTGGACCCGATATGAAAGGCCGCTGCTCGAAGAGCCTGAGGGAAAGTGGGAAGCTCTATATACAGGGAGCGCTCAGAGGCACAGGCCCGTTAGGCGAAAAGCCTTCAAAGGAACTTCGCAACAGCCTCTGCTCAAGGGGGAGCCCGAGGACGATGCTACATAGGCAACAGCAAGCTCCACGAACCAGCAGCACTCTGGAGCAACTGCTCCGTGGGTGAAGGCTCCTCTAAGGAACTGAATTAAACACCGCTGCACAAAGCAACCCAAATGCGATTGAACAGGCAGAGGAAAGCTCCGAACAGGAAGCACTCCGGGGCAAAAGCCCCGAGGGCGAAAGCCCTTCTAAGGAAATGAATCAAAAGACCGCTGCGCAAGGAAACCAGAGGTGATTAAATGGGCAGCGGGAAGCTCCGCAAGCAGGAACACTCAGGGGCCAAAGGAGGGAAGGGAAAGGAAGGGAAAGGAGCAAAAATTAACAAAGAAAATAAACTGGATTTGGGAAAGAAGGGAAAACGGAAAGATATCACCAGGACGATCCATCGAAGGTAAATAGCCCTCTCTTGGACGCACAGAGGACACGCTGTTGCTGTTCCGAATGCACACGCCGAAAGAGGAAGCTCTGGGTCACGTGCATGGGTATATAAAGGTCCCTCGATCCGTTTGGACTGCACCCCATTGGCCAGATTGAACCCAGCATCGAGGGACCTACTGTACCAACTGGTGTTGTGGCTGACCAATCTTACCTACCCACAACACAGGGTTTCGGTTTCCAGGTCTCACCACAACACTTTAAGGGAGGACACGATATACCTCATTTCCCCAAAGTCTTTAGGTTGAGATTCCAGTGCAAGGAATAAAGATGGCGCTCCCCCATCTCTGCAGCCCCATAATGGAGCTGCAAAAAAGAAGAAGGCATGCTTTGATCTTCCCTAGAAATAGGGTTGTGATGGACTGGCTGTGGGGTTGGCACAGCCAGAGGAGAACAGGTTAGAGCGGGGGGGGGGGGAATTCAAAGCTAATTTTGTGTCTCTGGTGTTTTGCCTGCCATGCATGTCTTCTTGGGCAACCAAGAGAGCATCATAATGTATGCCACCGATCTGAAGAGATAAAATTTTGTACTAAGATGCTGCTACATCTGGTCCTTGAATGGTTGGTGAACAGGGCAAAGGAGTCCATTGGCATCCCTACATTGCTCAACACAGAGCCCAAGCAGACTCCCCATAAAAGTGAGGCAAGCACCCCAGTTCCATGTGCCTTCCCACTTTAGTCCAGTATTACAGAGCTAATGAACTAGGAATGGAGAACAACTGGCCAGAATTTAGGCCCAGGAAAGGGCCAAAGGTGGAAGGCAGAGTCCAGGGTGGGTGGCAGTGTTGGAGCAGAGGAAGTGTCAGGTCATTTCAGGGAAGAAGCCAGGCCAAAATGGTTGCTTAAAAGAAGAGGAAAAGAACAGTGTGACTTGCGGCTTCATCTGGACTCAGTGCCACCTACAGCGGCAATAGCAGCTTTAAATCTACATCACAGAAAAGAATGCGATCAGCCTGGTTCATCTGGATTCAATTTGACACTGGCTGCCCTTTATTTCCACATCTTCCCAAGTGTAGTTTTGGTGCTAAAGGGAAGTGGCTGATGGTGGGTGGAGCTTGGTGAGCTAGGGTGGCATCATGGATGGCTCAGTCGGTTAGAACGCTGTGCTGATAACGCCAAGGTTGCAGGTTCGATCCCCGGATGGGACAGCTGCATATTCCTGCATTGCAGGGGGTTGGTTTAGATGATCCTCAGGGTCCTTTCCAATTCAAAAAAGTTCTATGATTCTATGACCTTAGAGATGCCTGATTGAGGGAGAAGATGGTATCAGATTAAACCACTGGCTGTTTCATCAAGGACACAGAGGTGCCCAGGCCACTTTCACCTTTTGGGGCCCCTAGCCATAATCAAAATTAAAAACAATGGTCAACACATAAAAACAAAATAGGGTGCCCCCTTCCTTCCTTGCTTCAAACTCAGAGGAAGGAATAAAAGCAATCTGCATGACAGCAAGTCTGAGAACCAACAAGGATATTGAATGGGAGATATTGGACAGTGGAAACTCCTCAGATTCTCAGGTCCCGCTATTCTCCCACTCATTATGTGAAAATCATCAGCTCGTTATGCGAATGCCCACCTAGCAAACAATTTCTTGGGAGTGCATTGTGTTTGATAAGTGAGACCTGTGTGTAATTAGGCTGCAATCCTAACCCCACTGAGGCTGCAGGGGCAAAACTAGGCATTATTTCACTGGGTCAAAGACCTGGTTTGGCACGCTCCCAAATGCATTTGTGTGCGCGCACACACACAGGCTGGGAGCATCAATGGTGCCCCTCTGGGGGCTTCACCTGGGGCAAAAATGCTGGCTAGCCCCCCGCCATAACTACGGCTCTGCTTAGGGGCAGGAAGCCCCATTGAGTTCAACATAACTTACTGTAGATTCCGGCGTATAAGACAACTTTTTAACCTTGGAAAATCCTCTAAAAAGTCGGGGGTCGTCTTATACACCGGGTATGGGTTTGCTGGGCAGCAGCAGTGGGCGGCGGGCTCTGCGCCGGCAGGAAGCCGCCCAGCGAAGAATGGGCGTATAAGTCGTCTTATACGCCTAGTCGCCTAATACGCCAGAATCTACGGTACTGCTGAGTAGACATAAGGGTTAGGATTGCACTGTAAACTGCTTTGCAAGTGGCATTTTAAAAATATGGTTAGACTTTGTTGGCACATTTCTCCATTTGAGAAAAGATTTTTGCATTAAAACAGGGGGAAGCAAACTATGTATTTTGCCATAGTAAGTGTATAACATGTAGGTAGTTTTTGTAAAGCATTTTATATTTGGCTACTTTATCCTATGAGTGGTGATAGAGTATGCTGTGGCACATGCTCAGTAGGAAGCTGTGTTGCTTAGCAACAGCTTCAACTTCAGAACTGTTGTCTGTGAGGGTCTCTGGGAGGAGGGTGACAAGCCTCACCCCTGTTTCATAGTGGTGTTAATAATGCCACAGTACAGTTTGATCCTATACAAAGCAAAAGGGCTTTAAAATCTTTCATTTTGCTGTCATCATTTCCCTCAATTTTAAAAGAATGTAACAGAAACACATAGGAAGAGAAAATGAACAGAGAACAACTTTGCAGAAGATAATTCCAAAAATACCTAAGATCAATGCACAATTAACCAAATGAACTTTTCATGATGGTAGTTCACCGCAACACATGCAGAGTGTCCATTAATGTAGCCCAGTTTCTTGTTTTGTTTTTGTTAAGTATAATTGTTTAATTCACACTGAAATGGAGAATGCCTGTGTGCATTGCTGAAAGGGTTTAAGTGGAAGATTCCACTGAAGCTACAGAAAAGCTCTCTAAGCACATAGATGGGTTGATAATTAACTGTCACTGTCTCTGCTAGCTAACATGTGAGTGTTTAACCATAGATCACATGAGAGGTATTGAATTGCAGATTGCCATCTTGGGGAGTTGGTCTTTGGTGGTCTTTTGTTCCCAGGCTCTGTGGGAGAAAGATGTGTGAATGACTCACTCCAGGAGCTCAACAGCCTTGGGGTTGGAATACAGGCTAATGGAGTCTGTGTGAGAGAGAGCTATGTTTGTCAGTCCTGTTTATAAGTTATTTAATTTCTAAGAAGCTGAGCCTGTGCTGAACACGCACATGATCCTATGAAAATGTTTGGATGTACTGTTTTTTTCTGTTTTGAAGAAAGTTCTGCAAGTAAAGCTTTGAATCAAACTTATGGGTCTGGACAATGTTTTATTCCAAAAGGAGACAGTTCTTATGCATCCAGTTGCTTCAAGCTACACAATATTAGTATCTGCAATAGGTAAAGGGACCCCTGACCATTAGATCCAGTCGTGGCCGACTCTGGGGTTGCGGCACTCATCTCGCTTTATTGGCCAAGGGAGCCGGCGTACAGCTTCCGGGTCATGTGGCCAGCATGACTAAGCCGCTTCTGGTGAACCAGAGCAGCGCACGGAAATGCCGTTTACCTTCCCGCCGGAGCGGTACCTATTTATCTACTTGCACATTGATGTGCTTTTGAACTGCTAGGTTGGCAGGAGCAGGGACTGAGCAACGGGAGCTCACCCCGTCATGGGGATTCGAACTGCCGACCTTGATCGGCAAGTCCTAGGCTCTGTGGTTTAACCCACAGTGCCACTCCAAACCCCCACCCCAGGTCTGTCCTATCAGCAATCTCATTTCCTCTGCCTGTGGAGAAGACTGTACATCTGCTATCTGATTCACTCCTCTTGTGTTGGCCACTGAGGGAGTCAGACATATTATCCTATCTATCATTCTGTGGGGATTGTATTGGTTGCCTGCAACATAGAATGGTCTTCTTCTTTGGTGATCACTTGTAGCCGAGTAAACACGGTTTTAACAATGAGTCTGTAAGTGACTGTGGAGCCCAATTCTGGATCCACACATGCTTCTGCAGTGGGGACGTTGGTTTCTGGGCGGGAGTTGATCACGGTGTGGATTTGCCAAATGTGCCTTCCTCTTAGCACCTTTCTCCCTTGCATCCTGAGTTTGAGTGTCTTCAAAGCCCACAACACCTTTGGTAAAGGCTGTTCTCCAACTGGAGCACTCGCAGGCCAGTGTTTCCCAATTGTTGGTGTTTATACTACATTTTTAAAAATTTGCCATGAGACAGTCTTTAAACCTCTTTTATTGACCACCAGCATTACACTTTCCATTTTTAAGTTCGTAATGCTTCAGTTGTATGGACTCCTCATGTCCGTTCCAGTGAATAGACAAAACTGGGACTTAGGTTCACCCCTCTGCCACTGACAGCCTTCTAGCTCCAAACTGGAACTAAGGAGGTGTAAAGTGGAGTCACTATACTAGCTTCCTGGCAGGTGTGTTGCTGTTGTTTACTGGGACTGAAGGGGGCGAGGGGGCAGGGAAGTTTGTATGGTGCAAACGCACCAGCAGGTGTGACAATTGGCTCCACCAGTCCATTTGCACCATGCCAACCTCTCCTTTCTTTGCCCCTCCATCTTCTGGTAAGCAGCAGAGACCCACATGCTGGAAAGCTAGTGTAGTGACCCCATCTCATGAGCTGCTTCTGAGCTAGAATACTATATATTGCTTAAATAATACATCTGTTAAGGGCAGAAACTGTGTTTTATTTTTTGCCTCCCCGTCCACCCATACTCCTTACTCCCAAGACTTCTTCTGCTCTTCCCTGAGAGCTGCAGCTTTTTTTTTTAAAAAAAGAAGAGATGCATGTACACCAGGCATGTACACATTCAGCTTATTATTCAGGTCCAAATTAGATCTGTTAAATCTGAAGCTCTGTGTCCACACCCTCCCACTCAAACTGAATATAAGAAGGAATCTAAAAATGGCTATAAGTGATTTCCTTTTTGCAGAAGTGGATGAAATTTGCAGATACACAGAATTACCTCCTGAGCAGATTAAGCCTACAAAATTGCAGGCAAATCTATGCAGGTGTTTCATGCAGGGAACCATTAACTTTTTTTCTTTCAAGAAAAGATATTTAACTTTTGTTGCCTAAGCATGTACAGTGCCCTGCCTAAATCAGTGAACAACTTCCCCCCCCCCATCTCTCTGCATAGTTATAACTCAGACACATGTGTGCATGTAAACACATGCTTAGACCAGTGTTTTCAGCAAATGGCTGAGCTCTCGGTCCTTTCCTAGGCTTCATCTTTAGCTACCAGAGGCACTGACAGTGCAATGAGAAAACAGAAGTAACTGCTTTAACATCAGGATGATTGAGATTAAGGCTTTCTGTAGGACCAGGCTCAGAACACAGAGCAGAGCAGTCCTGGCTGAATCAGAACAGGTGGTTTCTTTTATTATTATTAATGAAACTTCCTGCAAATACTGCAGAGGATTAGCCCAGCAGAAAGAGAGCTGGTTTAGAATAGTTTTCCCTGTAATTAAGAGTTGCTCTTGCTTTTAACATGGTGGAGCATTCAAAAATGGCATCTCCCACATGCAACTCAGCAACTGTATGCAGAAAATTCTCGTGATAAATCACTAGCACAGGCCCGTTGGCATTCATGAGAGTTACAGAAACAGTATTTCAGTGGATAAATGGTTCTAGGGAACACACATGCATGGATTCCTGAGCTCTGGCAGGGTAAGGACTTCAGAGGATCCAGCAGGCTGCTTTAGGTCCGAACTGTGACATGTTTCCTCTTCACATTAACAGCAGTAGCAGCAACAACAACAACTGTTAATCCATTGTTCAATGCTGAGTCAAGCCATAGCTGTGTCTCACAAAATGAAAGCATGTAATAATTGAAAGTGGCAATACAACCAAACAACAACAACGCAAACTGGCTTATAAATATAAAACCAAATTTACTAGAATAATAGCTAGAATAGAGATAGACTTGTAACCATTAAAACAACAAACATACTAAGGTGCCATGTGCAAGACACAGTCTGGAAATACAGTGGTGCCTCGCAAGACGAAATTAATCCGTTCCGCGAGAGTCTTCGTCTAGCGGTTTTTTCGTCTTGCGAAGCAACCCTATTAGCGGCTTAACGGATTAGCGCTATTAGCGGTTTAGCGGCTATTAAAGGCTTAAAGGCTTAGGGGATTAGCTGCTAAAAGGCTATTAAAGGCTATTAAAGGCTTAGCAGATTAGATAAAGGGGGGGGAAAGCGAAAAAAAAATCTCTAGACTCGCAAGACATTTTCGTCTTGCGAAGCAAGCCCATAGGG